TGTTCAAATCAGTTCCTCAATATAAGCTATAAATCACCCAAACAAAGGTGTTCTGCTATTGAGTAGGTATAGGCTCCCTCGTGGAAATCCCAGAAGGATAGCTCATCAGAGGGCAAGGACCCGGGTGCGATCCCACTTCTTTTCCATGCGGGTTTGCCGTCCCTGGAATTCCTTATCGGCAGATGTAAATATGGCACCGTCTATGGACGCCTTTAAGCGAAGGCTGGACAACCATGCAGCGACACAAGGACTGCGTCCAAATGGCCTATCCCCTTAAAATCGCATACACCATTCAAGGGTGAGATGCCACCACGTGGGGTCTGCACAGATTTATGGGGCATCTTATAAATTAACTTGATTTCCTTTGTCGCATATTCGAATATCACTTAACAATGTCTCATCTCATTCATTTTCTAATAACATCTTCACTTGCTCATTATATTCCATTAAACCTAACATTTTATAGACCTCTATGAATCTGATTCGACTTATTTTACTCCTATTCTCTATAAGGTGCGGTTGTGCACCAAATACACAAAAAGGAATGAAATAAAAGCAACCGGCTTGTGGATAATTGCATTAAAACCAAAAGTGGGCATCATGATAGTAAGACCTATATGAGTAGCATTATACATTGCAAATGAACTTTGTCAGCCTAGGGATCATAGTCTCCCATTGTATTTCTTTATGAATGCATCTATTAATGATACATTGCACTTACCTATTTCATTACACTTTAATGATTCACCTTAGCACCTTTACTTTTCTAAAACAGCTCACTATCCCTTGTAAACGCTGTACTTACCTCAATATTGGTTGGTTATCGTATGCCTACAAACACGGGTCAAAAACGAGACGGAGTCGATTTTCTCGCGCAACCTGGAGGACTACTGTTTAATTCAATAATGATATGGCCTGGGTCAGACAATGGGTGTATTTATATATATATATCAAATATTTAGCTGTTCAAACATTATTAAATTGTAGACAATCTACTATTTGTCATTATATCATACTTGATCGTGCCCGTAAAAACGGCATGCATTTTCACGTAAATTTATGTTTATATGAAAATATACATTATTAGTATTATTAATTAAACTGGTCGTTTTACTTCTTTACATTCTCTTCCGTCTTACTCTCCTGACAGCTTTAACTACACCTATTATTATTATCATTACTACCGGTATATATATTCACTTTTATTCACTTTAAATGGTCTATTTCTAATAATGTCTGCTTCTCATTCTCAAATGACTTCATATACTGTATTACCGTCAAACGTCGTCCCAAACATCTCCCCAAATATAAGCATATCTTTGTTACTAACATGTGCATTTCTCCAAGTTTCTCACTATCTAATCTTTCAAATTTTGCTGACGAATTCAGCATGTTTGCCGCTGCCAACTTTGACAACTCTCTATCTGTTATTACTGGGTACTTCAACTTGTCAGACTGCTCTTTCCTTGAAGCACTTAGTCACACAAACATAGTCAAATTTCCCACTCGACTTGACAAAACACTCAATTTAGTTTTTACAAATGACGAAGGAATACATGAAACAGGTAAACATGCACAAATACTTAACTCTGATCACTGTATTGTTCGTGTTTTACCAAAAATATACAGCAAAAAACATATTAAAGTCTTCTCACATCTGTCTATGAAAGCACAACAAAGATGCTGCTCATCCGATAACTTACTCAATCTAAGGTGTATGTTATAAAATACTAACTGGGATTTATTCCATGAAAGTTCATCAGGTGACACAATTGCCAATATAACGGATTATCTTAAGTTCTGCCTTGATATATGCTGTCCCAAACAAACACTATTCAAACGCCTCGACCGCTTCTCACCTCCTTATCTCAAACAACTTCGCAAGCAAAAAGAATCATTATACAAATCCAAAGATAAGTTAGGACTCAAAAAGATTAATGCTCAAATCAAATGTGAAATCAAAAATCGTAATGCTATTTACAACGATACACTTTTATCATGCAAATCTCCTATCAGCATGTGGAAACTTTTTAATGAAATTACTGGCAATAGTAAGCGTTGTAATGCTTTTCCCTCTTATGATGTTAATGCTCTTAATCAGTCTTTTATACACTGTCCTTCTACTATAACTACTTCTAATGTTACCTATCATGTAGCTGAAAACTTTCATGACTTTAATGCTGTCGATGTTCTAAAATGTCTTAAAACGCTCAAGCCAACACGTAGCCTTGGTCCTGATGGTATACCTGCATATGTTCTAAAACAATGTGCAGATGCTTTATGTTCTCCACTAACTAACATCCTAAATGCTTCTTTCTCCAAAAATGTCGTACCTGATGCATGGAAAGACATTAAAATAGTCCCTGTCCCTAAACCTGGAAACAGCAAGAACGTAAAGTTCAGACCCATTGCCATCACTTCCCCGTTTCTAAAGCTTATGGAAAAACTAGTACTTCTTAAACTTGAACCCTCCCTTAAAAACTTTGAAGACCCCAAACAATCTGTATATAGACAGGGTAGGAGCACTTTAGACGCTGCAGCCGTCTTACACAACAGTATAGTCTCATCATTAGATAAAGGTGCCAAATACGTCCGCTGCACGTTTCTCGACTTCACTTCTGCTTTCGACTCTATACCTAGATGTCTCCTGCTAAATAAGCTCTCTATGACAAAAACTGAGTCCTGGGTCACTAACTGGCTGCATTCCTACTTCTCTAACAGAAAGCAGTACACTGTATACAAAGGTAAATCCTCCTCTGCTGCGCTCACTGAAGCTGGTGTCCCCCAAGGTGCTGTACTCTCCCCACTTCTCTTTTCTTTCTTTCTACATGACTTACCATCTTCAAATGACATTAATTTTGTCAAATATGCTGACGACCTGACTGTATCTTTGCCTATCAAATGTCAAAGTGACTGCTCTAAACTTAATGGCTTTCTGTCAGAAATCAGCAAGTGGTCCAAGGAAAACGTTGATATAAGAATAAAACTTGGGCACTGTGGTAGAGTGTAATTCCATTTTGGGTAAATTTTGTTTTGATAGAGTCTCACAGTGTTATACAGTAATATTTACTGATGACGTTTCGAGCACAATCTATTGCTCATAATCATATCAAGTTAATCACACGACTTCCTAAATTCATTTATATAGTTCCATTGTTTTTCACTTGATTTGATTGGTAGTATTATTTTCCATATTTCGGGTATGAGTGATGAATCACTCCTATTGCATGTGTTGGGTGTAGATTCGATGAACAAGGATTCAGTAATCCTTGAATTTAGGAAGACGTGTGATTACCTTGATATGATTATGAGCAATAAATTGTGCTCGAAACGTCATCAGTAAATATTACTGTATAACACTATGAAACTATCAAAATAAAATTTACCCACAATGGAAGTCCAAGGAAAACGGTCTTACCTTAAACCCCTCCAAATGCCAAACAGTCAATTTCACCTTGAGGCATAAATCCGACCTAAAAAAACTGGTTCGCTCTCACGAGGTGTGCAACATAGATGGCACTGAAATAGAAACCAAGTCGGAGATTAAATACCTAGGCGTCATTCTATCTGCTGATCTTTCCTGGTCGTCTCACATCTTAGCGATTTCTAAGAAAATATTCCGTCTTATCTTCTACATCAAGAAGTTAAAACATTCTGGTATAACCCAACCCTTACTCCTACAATTCGTTAATTCTCGCATTCTGCCTATTATTCTCTATTGTTCCCTCTTAGTTTTTCCCGGGCTACTGAAGAAAGACTATACCTTATTACGCAGGATGTTAAAGGTTGTCAGCAGGGTAAGCAACGTGCCACTTAACCAGCTTGTTAATATTCTGGTTGACAGGCACATGGACTCATGTGAAAAATGGGCCAAATCCATTTTATCTAACTCACACCACCCTCTTCACTCACAACTCTCCCCTTGCATCTCATCAGGCAAAACCAGAAGCCGATATAGAAAACTATATGCTCGCACTAGCAAGTACAAAAACTCAACCATACCCTACTTAGCTCGTGTTCTGTGTGATAAAGAAAGCATTAGGCGTGATACCTATAATTCATTAAATAGTCAGTAGAACAACTGGACCTCGTCTTTCCAACTCACATCATTTATAGGTACAACATTTTCTTTCTTTCTTTTCCTTTTCTCTCTTCTCTTTTTTCTGTTATGTGCTGCTTTGTTTCTTTCTTCCGCTTACGCCAGTAAATATGACAGCACCTACTTTTCTAACACCTTCAAACACTGTTCAACTTTGGCTTTGCTACCGACATGCCAATATGTTGTTGTCATAATGAACTGAGATTTCCTTAATCTATGTAGAATTTTATTTATTGATAATGTACTAACTGGATGCAATACTGTAGTAAAAATGCTGAGAATTCCATTGTGTATCACAAGTACTTTTTTGGAATAAAGCAAATTGTTATTATATATATATATATATAATGGGCTGACTGATTGTTGTTACGTTTTCTTATTCTTTTTCTGTCTGTTAGTATGAATAACTTCACTAATTATATCTACTATTATTATCTCTTTTCTATTGACGACGATACCGAAGGACCAAGTGGTGAAAGGATCAACTCCATTCACAGTAGTAACAGTCTAAACACACCTCATTCTACAAACCACACATAATTAACCCCTGCACTAGTCCTTTTGGAGGCAACGAAAGCTACGACAGTCGAGTGGCGCGATAAGCTACGCAGACGTTTACCGAAGATCAGGAACCTCTACCTCACAATCAAGAGTCGAGCACAAAGAAATCAAATTGGTTCATACTAGCTCGTAAAAACGATATTGGATATTGGAATCTACCTAGTTAATTCTGGCACAGGCACATTTACAAAACATGGAAAAGCGTAATTATTCTAATGAAGGGGTTTCATATTTACAACAAGGTGAAAAATTATATCAGCGTGAATATGTTGTCTTTAAGTGCCATAAATGCTTTAACCAAGCTACGCCCATTTCGATAATTCTCCGAGGGTGATTTAAAATGAAGGTCGTTGTGTTCCTCCTAGTTTTCGTGTGTTGTTTCCATCAAATATGCAGTTTCCAGCGCGTAAGCAGATACATTTCTTTATGAATCAATTTTCTGATTGTTTCGCAAGATTATGAGATGGATCATTGCATAATGAGATGATTATATCCTCATTATATAAAAATGTCCTTTTATCAATATTCCATGTGTCAATCACACAAAAGAATATAGCTGAATGTAACCAAAAATACGTGATCTTATCGCCCATAGTTATCCTAATTGGTTAATTATTTTTTAGCGCTGGTTGTACCTTATGCTTAATATAAGCTCATGTTTTTCTAGGTTATTTATTCGCTTACGGATTAGATATATGCGGTGTGTCACAGATGTCATTACAGACCAGTGACTTAAATGAATCTGCACTTGGGATCTCAGGACTTGTAGTGTGAAAACAAGGGGCAGTAGTGAAAGTCCTATTCGAATCTTAAAAACTCTACTTTTTCACATTCATTGTGCTAATTACAGAATACATATTTCAGCCATATAGTAAAATTACTGAATTGACTATGTGGACTTCGAGCACGACACTAAGTATTTTCACTTATTCTTCATCGTGTTTAAAGTTGGGCGAAATTGTAGAATGACTACAATTTTATTTCAGTTTTAAGTCTCAGAATGATGCCCACGTTCAAAAGTGGCTTTATCTTCCGTCTTTTGGCTAAATAATACTGTTCGTTTGTACAGAGGAAAGTGGTAAGATACAATTTATCCGAAAAAGAGTGACTTGAAAATTTAAGAAACAATAAATAAAACAGTAAATTACCGCTGGTTGTGGCGACTAATGTTAATGGAAGATGCTTTCTCTTTTAGACAAGACTCTATACTTCGCACCAATGACCGTTTATTACTAGCCCCTTCATCCTGATGTGTTTTAGCATCTCATTGTTAACTGTTTACATTGTTACCTAATTTACGAGCTTAAATCAATGCGCTCTTGATGAAGATGTACAATTCTGTTTGTATTAATATAAGATTACTCAGCAATTAGGACAATATCTACAAAGCATTTGACAAGTTTCTGCTAAGTGATGGTATAAGATCCAGTGTCTTTGACAATATCAACTACTTTATGAAGCGATTTAATTTTATACGAATTCTGATCAAGATTTGATCGGATAGTTCCACAATAATTGGGCATTTAGTGAAAAGCAGACGTATGTAAAAATTATATTTGTATGAATTTCAGCGAATTCGAAATAAATTCTAACAATTCGTTCGGCAAACTGGTCAGAACTTCTTCATGACAGATATCATTGGACAAGTATATTAAAGAAAAGATGTGTTCTTTTTCGTATGCACCTTTGTTATTTTCATTTTGATTGTTTCCCTGGAGAAGTTCGGACTTGTTTGCCTAACGAAATGTTGCATTTATTTATTTCTATTTCTCTTAGATTTATATAAACATAGTTCCTACATATTCCACTTTTGTTTAAAACATTTGGTACTAATACATAATGGTAGTGGTATACGTGTCTTGTTTCTAACTTTTCGTGTTATTTCATTGCCGGAAAGATTTATTAAGTGTTAAAGCGCGTGACTAACCGAATTAGCCAATGTAGTGCGTTTTCAATGTGTTGTTGGGTTTAAAATAACGTGTCATTTGTCAAAATTCAAAAAAATCTTGTAACATCATCGATCTTCATTCAGTATACTTGCGTCGTTGCTCAGGGGCGAATTTTCACGCTGATGCTGATCTGCATATACCGATAACGCGAATACTGAGTGGATTATCGCTCTTACTGAACCTCCTACTACCACTGGGATGATGCCTTTAGTGTAAACTAGGTTTATCTTGTTGTTTCGGGCAAGTTAACATAGATCAGTCATCTCCACCACTGTTGGCTGCGGTTGCTTTAGAGATTCACTGTGCTAGTCTATTTATCGCGACTACATTTTTTAAATTTTCAATAGTTTAGAAAGTTTTATTGTGGAAATCACTTCTAATGCTAAATGATTTATAAGTTTATACAGTTTAGCAAAATTATAACTGATTCGCAATTCACCTCTTAATATTGTATTTAAGCTACTGTGGCTCATTAGCTTATGCACCCAAACAGCTCTGCCTAAAAAGTTTGCGATATGTCGTTACCTGTTTTCTTAACATGCTGATATTTGCTGAAATTCACTATTGTTTGTTACTATTAAGACCTTTAATTTGATTGTATTCACATCACTTTGTATTGTGTTGTATTGGAAATTTCTCTTTACAGTCGATCGTTGTCTTGAAAGCATACAAGAATAATAGTGTATCAGATCATCGCTGCATTTATTTGTCGAAAACAAGTCGATTAGATCCCTTCTTACAGACAGTAAGTAATAAATTTGCCTACATTTTTAAAGTGATACAGACAGTAGTAAAATTAGTTGTCGCCTTATTTACTGTGTATAACGAGCTTATTAAGTCTTTGTTTACAATGATGTTTTAAATTTAGCCGAAATACATTTACTAAGGCAACCGTCTGTAATTATCAGTAAAAAGATTACATTTTCTTCCTAGTCAAATGGTTTCTACCTGATAGGTTATAGCTATACCTTTGTTTTAGGTAATATATGATGCTAGTTTGATTTCATGAGATTTCAACACTCAGCGAACAACTCAGACTGAATTGCTATATTTGTGTTGCAGAGCAGTTCATAAGCTTTGCTTATCTACATTAAAAAAGCAGTCACTCTTTCCGATACCGCAATCTTTGTGTCACGACTGTGTGATATTTTCTCTTTTTTTTTTACAAACGGATCTCCTTATTATATCTGCAAAATTTTCTGATTCTTACTTCTGTCGAGACAGATCAATAATTTTTACGTATACTATGTGTGTTTAATGTTGTCTATGTCTTTGTCATCTACAGTTCTTATCGTTTTCAATAAGTCAGTTATTCTCGTTTTGTGTCCTATTCTTTACATTCAGATGTATTCACTGATCATTGTCTTATGAAATGATTTCATCTGATGAATTGTTTCTTTATCAGTCATTTACGGAGTGATCGTTTGTGATTGTAAGCTTACAGCATAAGCTGAAGTTATTTAGTAAATGAAAGCAATCACGTTTGGATATTGAAATGTATTCATTCGTCGATCAACATAAAAAGTATCACAAGGCTACTCTGATTAAACTTGACAAATTTTTGAAATAGCCGGTCAAAGGATTTGCTGGGAAACTATTCTGTCAAAGTTTGTTAAAAGAAGTAATGAAGTATGTTAGTTCTCAGTCATCATCTGTCATTATTTTTTGTAGGAGTAACTGCATATACAAGAACTTACTTGGGACTTGTGGAATTCGGCTATATTCGTTGTTGTCACTGAATATTTATCTGATGAAGCTTGTTCGTTGATATATTACTTTTGAGCTGTGTAACGTATGACCCTTAGCTACTGATTCAGTGTTACGCGAATCTCTATAAGCACTACATTCTTCTAACATATTGTTTTCAAACAGTATCGTAATTTGGAGTGGTTGCTAATGGATATTTTTTGCTCCTGTCGAATTTGTGTTGTTACAGATGTTATACGAGATATATTATAGTTAACAGAGTATATACAGTTTAATTGACTGGGTTCGAGCCTCGGTGGGAACATCATCACTCACTGGGAAATGCCGGTACATCCAACTGACTAGTCCCAAATAGGACGAAATGCGCGTCCTGGATCCCACTGCTAGTCACCATCCACAAATTAGAGTTTATACAGGTTTACAGATCTGAACAGTTTATATATCGTATTAAAAAGTTCTCATCTAATGTGCTCAGTGTTTCATTATTAGTCTTGTCTTACATTAAGAAAGTGATGGTGTTATTTCAGCATTCCTTTACTATTTAGAAGCCTTATCCCTTTTAATAATAATTGTGAAAAGTTATAGTAGAACAAGACATATAAGCGAACAATATTGTTTTCAATTAGATCTTTTTCAGGCTTTACTCTAACTTACATAGATTCATATATAAAAATTTTAACCAATGACGGTGATTTTGTGGATCAATCCCTGTACCTACGATTAAAGGACGAATTTCTGTGGACTCTACTTCAAATTGTATCTACAAGTTCACTTGCAGCTGCGGTGACACCTATATAGGTAGAACCAACAGAATGTTCCAATGTCGTCGGAAAGAACATGTTCCAAAATGGTTACTAAATCATATAGAAAATCCCAATGCCAGTAATCTGAATAGAAATCCAGCATCATCCATTGCAAAACACTTATTAATGTCAGGTCACAAAATCAAAATTAATGACTGTTTTACAATTATTTCACATAACTCCAATTCAAGGTTGGTTATTGAAGGTGATGGAAGCACTTTGGATTAATCACATACAGCCTAAACTGTGTGTACAAAAATCAATAGACTTCAATCTTCGCCCACCCTGGACTACTTGACCTATCTAAATATGACTGGTCATTAGTATGTACTTTTGTTTTATTTAACCGACTAATTGTCATGAGCTTTATTTTATTATTGTTAACCATGTTAGTTGTAAAGTGGTTGTAAAGAAACTACGAAATGTTATCATCTCGCGAAATTTGTCTTATTCAAATTTATCAAAGGGACGAATTGTTTTAATAATAATAATGTGGTAAATGTTTTGAACTTAGTTAATAACGATGATTGTAATGATAACAAAATATTGATAATAAAATTATAAAATAGTGCCTTCAAAGTTATCTATCGCATTCCAACGAGCCTTTCGAACGGAATTCGAACCCGTCTTTTACACATAGCCGGAGGTATAGGGATTCGAGAGAACAATTCTAGTCTCTGCATACAAAAGAAGTTTATTCTACTTTTGTCTTTCCCTTGGCCTAGGTGAATTCTATTCAAAACCCTCCCACCCTTTCTTATTTCCCATCTCCTTCGTACTTTTATGATATTTATTTAAACTCTGATTATCTGTCCACTTCACCTTTAGTATTACGTAACTTATAAGATTTGACCGAATTTATTTGTTGCATTGTCTACATAAACACATATTACTACCTTTGTTATTCTTATCGCCACCTGCATAAACCTTATTATCAATATTTTGTTATCATTACAATCATCGTTATTAACTAAGTTCAAAACATTTACCACATTATTATTATTATTATCATTATTTGATCCACAAAATCACCGTCACTGGTTAAAATTTTTATATATAAATCTGTGTAAATTAGAGTAAAGCCTGAAGAAGATCTAATTGAAGACAATATTGTTCGCTTATATGCCTTGTTCTAATATTAAAAAGTTATAGAATATTACTATTTTTGTGTAAACTTCCGTAACATTGTGTCCACTCATAGGCGATAAATACATCAATGTTAAGAGCTGAAAAAAGTAGTAAATTACCTAACTTGTGTTGTAGGGAAAAATAAGTAAGTTATTTAAAGCAAACTGGTAGAAGTTTCTGCTCTGGCGTATAAAGCACGATGTGTAAGGAATTACATCATTACCAGGCGGTGGTTTATGAGACTGAGTCCATTCTTCTGAGAGATGTTATTTACAAAAAAATGAATACCCTATACAGTAGGTAACATCTCAAAGTCATGCAGTTGTTGCAGATAGTTTAAATTTTTAATACCACTTACCTACAGTTATTCCTTTGTACTTTGCTTGGTTCACATTTTTCATTTTTGATTTCAGACAAAATTGAAACTGGTCAATTTGGTGTCTTCTTCCATCAATGCACTTGATCTCCCTGGTTTATTGCCAACGCCACCGATTTCTGTGTCCGTTCTGTGGGACAATTTTCAAGATTCCGATATAATACAATTAAATCCAAAACTTTTAGTGATTATTTATAATGGAGAATTAAAACTGAAAGTTGAAGTGTTAATGGCTTCACATGTTGCTGATGTATTTAATCGGTCGGTAATATTTTTAGATGCTGATCAGTTCAGTGATATTATTCTTGTAAGTAGTGTATCTCAGTATTGGTTTATCTTTGCTTCCAGCTATGCTTTTTGCATTGTAACGTTTCTATGAATTTACACTACTGTTTTACTTGATGAGTTTCCGAGTACTTCGATTCTTTTTTTTCTTAGAATGCTCACAATAATTGTAGTTTGTGAAAGTACCTGTAACAGTCACATATGTAGATTTTCATAGCGATCGAGTTTGGGTAGCGTTCTTGTGTGAATTGCCTGATGTAGAAGACTCCATCTGGTTGGTTTCTATCAAAATGAACAGTAAAAGCAGTTTATACGTAAACTAATGAATCTTTGTAGAGATCATGATAACAGATGAACAGTGAATGTAAAAGGAATAGAAGAATTGTTGTTAGGTAATATTTAGAGGTGATTTGGCAACTACTTCGCTACTACGGGGTGCCGCCAACAATTATATACCTCATCCAGCAGTTGTATGACAATACTGCCAAGCATGCCAAGTAATCCATAACGGGAAACTCACGGAATCTTTCCAAGAAGTGAAGACAGGAGTAAGACAAGCTGGTTGACTGCCTACTATGTCCAATGATTTTCCTGATTGCGGCATACTGGATAATGCCATCTACAACAGCGGGCAGCGAGGAGACAGGCACAAAATGAACCCACACAAACCTTGGAGGATCTGGACCTCGCCGATGATATATATCTGACTTCCCACAAACTGGAAGATATGCAAGTGAAAAGCACCAAGCTGGTAGAAGAACCATCCAGGGAAGATAGGACTTCAGGTGAACATAGAGAAGACAGATGTAGGTGATGGAGATTCCTGACCAACAGCAACAGCGACAACAACAGACAACAATCAGCATAAATGGGAGAAATCTGAAAGAAGCAACCTCCTTTATTTAACTACCTGGGAAGCATCGTACCAACTACAGGCGGACGGAACTGATGAGGATATGAAAGCGAGGATTGGGAAAGCAAGGCAAGCTTCCATTACTATCAAGTCTGTGTCAAGGTCAACAGCACTCAGCATGAAAAATAAGATCCGGATTTTCCACTGCAATGTGAAGTCAGTGCTACTTACTATACGGATCAGAGACTTGGCGCGTCATGAAGAGCACCTCAAACAAACTACAGACCTTCATCAGTAACTGTCTTCGCCCAATACTGAAGATCAGATGGCCAGAAAAGACCAGCAACAGGGAGGGATCTCTGGAAGCGAACCATCCCAGCAGGAACCGATTGTGAAACAAATATTCAGGAAAGAATGGAGGTGGATTGGCCATACTGTGAGAAAACTATCAAGTGAGTGACATTACACGCTAGGCCATCACTCGAGTGGAACCCGAATGGGAATTGGCGAGTTGGTCATCAGTGCAAGGGTGACATGGAGATGAAAGCATGTGGACAGACGTGGAGTCAGAGAACCAAATGCAATGGAGACGTGCGGCTGAAGCCCTATGTTCCTCTAGGAATTAAAGGAAACAATAATAATAATAATATTTAAACTTAGTCATTTGAGATGAGTCAGTCGATAAAATTGTAAAGCTGCATCGATTAGGATGACTGGGATAGGCGTTACGCATACGAAACCTTCATTTGCTTCGTCAAGTAATGGTAAGTGATGTAGGTTTGGGTTGTAAAAGAGCTAGAGGTAGCCAGATCAAAATATGACATCAATCCACGAAGTCTTTGACTGTCTGTTTAGAGTAAGTAGGGGAGTGCAGACTGTCTGGCTAGAGTCATCGAGACACTAAGATCGGATGGATGTAGACTATTAGCTGCATGACTCAAAATCATTGTGAATGACGCTAACACCTTCACTGTGTGTGATCTCTCAGATCCAGTAAATCCTCACTATTCACCATGTAATCATTCTTTTTCCTGTTAATTTCCGCTTAATTATGATTTCTGGGCATCTTTTTCTCCACCTTTATGTGTGTACTTTATGAAATGTAACAATTTAAACAGCTGCATTTTTTTGTACTAAGTCTTTTGTTGAAGATACACTTCACATCTTGAGTAGGTTTTCATTTGTAAGCTAGTTGAATGTTGCCTTCTTTTATTCTTTTTTTTTTTATAGAGTAAATCTGGTCCTATTACGGATGATATTTTCCTTTCTGTTTCTCCATTTACTCGTTCTACAATCGCCTATGAAATTCTAATTTGGATTTTACTGTATGTATTTGTCACTACCGCCATTTTACTGGCTGCATGGATGATCGTTGTAAACTGTGATGAAATGTGAGTTTTTAAAAAAAATATTTTCTGCAACAGCGTGCAATTTATAGTTTAATTCTTTAAGAATTCATATTAACTTAGGGATTAGCTATTAGGAATGCGGCGATTGATTTGTCTGCACATTGAAATCTGATCTTTTCTTTTTATCTTTCCATTCTCTATCTCTTTCATCATGTTGATTATCAAACAATAATGTTAGCCTACAGCATACACACAATATATGCGACTTCATGACTAATTGCACTAACCTAAATTGAATCTACTAAATAAAATAAAGTAGTAGTGGTTATATTAGTAGTATTAAAAGTAAGTAGTTCAGCAAATATAATGCACAATAGAAATTTCATACATTTATTCCCCTTTATTCAAATAAAACGAAAACAACAGTATGTGCATGATGAAATGGTGCCATCATTTATTTCGTTGGCTCCTCATCAGCTACTGCTTACAGCCCAATAACATTATTAAGTTTATGTACACAAAACGGTTTGAACATACACAGAGAGTTCATATTTAAACAAAACATCAATATATGTATGCAATGGTAATAATAATCATAATCATACAGAATGGAATTTTTGGTGTCAAATCAAATGAAAGAGAGGATGAAAATATGCAGTTACCAGGGCATGGTAGGACTGATAACCGCCTCTTTCTAAACACACAAATATGATTGCAGGTTTTTGATGGAGATTGGTTCCACAAACTCGAGGAGAATTGAACTCTTTTGCCTATTGATAATTTCGAACGATCTTGTGACGTCCACCTAATAATGACCCGTGTCAAGGAGATGCGTGGTGATGGCACTGTTGAAAGCATTTGTTCCCCTGAGATGTTCAGAAAATCGGAGGTTTGTCCTTCTTTCTGTTCTTCAAGTGTAACTGCTCCCTCAGATACATGTAAATGTGTGTATACAATTGGAGGTAACATGAGAAGGGTATCTGTCGACTTTTTACTGCACCAAAACAGGATGTTGTCCGATAGTTGGGAAGCAAGTTAGCTGCAAGATAGGCTGTGGTTAGCGACGTATTCAATCTCATGTTGATTATTCCTGCAGTATTATCACATTTGAAATCAAGTTGAATGAAGATGGGCTTGTTTCCCACTGTGACTTGTTTTGCATTAGAGCCTTCAGATCTTGCGTACTTGTTAATGAATCTCTGAGGATAACGGTTGTTTTTGAACATCTTTTGGAGAATCAGAAATTCTCCTTCTAATTTTTCTGTGTAGAGGATATTCTTCTGAGTGTGTAGAACAGAGTTTTTTCTAGTTCTGGTTTATATTTATTTGGAAGAAAACTATAAAAATGTAGATATTGTCGTTTCCATGTAGGCTTTCTGTAAATTGACCTCTGAAGACTACCATCATCTAGGTGTTATATGGTCAAGTTAAAAATTGTTAAAATTGTTTCTGTCGATATGCTTAACAATGACTTTGGCCTGTAAGCAGATGATGAGGAGCCAACTAAATAAATGATGGTACCATTTTATTCTGCAAAATTTGTCGCTCTTGCCTTATTCAAACACACAACAGGTTGCACAGAAATTCTTCATTTTTTAAAGCACTTTCTATGCAGTAAGCTTATCATGTTTATCTTTCATGGTATGGTTCAATAAAGTAAGCAAGTAATCAGATAGTTGACTTGGAATTAAGTACACTAGTAAAAAACATTGTGTGATTATATAAGTTATCGTTAAAGCCGATTTTACAACACCACATTCGTTTCTGCCTACGTGACAAGATAAAACAAAGGTGGTCAATTACGATTTGAATTTGCTCAAGTAGAGTGGATCTTATATGATTTATTATATTACCTGTTTGGAGGAATGCTGTAATCATACCAGAGCTGTTACGTCTAACCGTTTTAAAGGTGTTTCACTGAGTTTTGTTTTACACAGCTGGAATATTCGTTGTGGTATTTACCCCCCACCCCACCGCCCTATATTATGCGCGGAAACACCTTGTGATTACTTTTATCCTCACTCAGAACTTAAGTTTTTGGACTTTCAGTGGAAGGAAATCGATAGTGTTTAGGGGAACTTAAATTACTAGTAGTCAGAAACGATGCCATTGTTGATCATAGCTATTTGAATGGAAATACACAAATACACAGGGTGCTTTGTAAATAGATTTTATCATTTACATTATGAGATTCTGCTAGCAATAAAATTATGGGATGAAGTTGGCAGTAATATACGTTAACGCTTTGATTGTATAATTTTATGATGTGATTCACAAGAAGGGTGGAGACATTCTGTTTAGAGGCTTTTTATTACTTGAGAAGCATAACCTTTAAGAAGGCGTAAACTAATTTTATTACAATCTAATCATAAAGAGAGATCCAAGGTAGAGGTATAATAATGAAATAGTTGTGAAATTCGATAGCTAATTGTCTTGATACTGAAATTTAATAACACGGTAGGTATGTGTGATATAAAGGTTACCCTAAATTAAAATGATCAATCACCACGTTTATTTGTTTGTTTTGTTTTGATTACAGCTTGATGCCACACCGTATTTTCAGTACAAGTATGGAATTTTCAGCATGGATATCGGTAGCCCAAATTTTGCAGGCCGACCATAGATATCGGGTGTGCGTCGGCAGGAGATCGAACCCCGGACCATGTGCATGGTCGGTGAGAGTCCTAACCACTGTGCCACCGACGCACAGTTAAGATTATAAGGCTTAGTCTAATCTCATCCACTAGTGTAGAAAATAAAATCATGCATTCACAGAATACAGTTTTCATGAAAGACTCTAGTCAGACTGAAATTATATATTCGAATTAAGAATGCTGTAAACAGATAGTGCTTCCTAAAGTTGAAATCATTTTTACGCCTTATTTGTATTGTTTTATTTGACAAGCATTTCTAAGCATTGCAAATGAAAAACCAATTCACTGTATTAACCAATTAATTACCAAATTAGTTACAGTCTGTTAATATATATATATATATATATATCCATCAATTAGATGGTCGGAGGCGATCGGAAGGAGGCTTAGGACCTAGTTTTCGTGACAGTTGGCACTCATCAGTCAGCAAGGCGTATCTGCAACTTCGAAGAGACTCACGTCTCTTCTGAGATTCGAACCCGCGTCACCCAGTGAGTGCTGCAGTCAGAGACATTCCTACTGAGCTATTCGGGCTCGCGATTAACCTCCTGGATAGTTTGATTAGATCATTATTATTGTTCCCTTGGGTTCCTAGTGGAACATAGGGCTTCAACTGCACGTCTCCACTTGCTTCTGTCTTCTACTGTACTTTTCACCCGCATCCATGTTAGTCCATACTGTTTCAGCTCCTCTTCACACGATCTCCTCCATGTCACACTTGGACGTCCCACTCGCCGCTTCCCTTTCGGATTCCACTCGAGCTATGGCCTGACGTGCGATGTCACCCAGCGGCCTCCTCAGCGAGTGTCCAGTCCATCTCCACTTTCTCCTGCATATTTGTTGGGCGATTGGTTCTTGTTTTGTTTCTTCCCATAGTTCCTTGTTGGTGATTCTTTCCGGCCATCTGATCTTCAGTATAGAGCCAGCGAAGACAGTTGTTGATAAAGGTCTGCAACCTGTTGGAAATATCCTTTGTGACACACTGGCCAAGTTTCTGATCCGTATAGAAGAACCGAGTCACTTAACGTTTGTATTGAAAATCCGAATTTTGTTGTTGATGCTGAGTGACGAAGATTTCCAGATTGGTTTCAGGTTGATGAATGTGTTTCTCGCCTTCCCGATTCTCGATTTGACATCCTCGTCGGTCCCTCCTGTAGTTGAGACGATGCTCCCTAGATAAGTGAATGAAGTAACCTCTTTCAAATCTCTCCCGTTGATGGTGATTGGCGTTGGATGTTGTTGTTGTTGTTGGTTGGTTGGTTATTTTCATAACCTCCGTCTTGTCTATGTTTACCTGGAGTCATGTCTTTGCTGCTTCTTCGACCAGTTTGTCGGTTTTCGCTTGTAAGTCTTCGATTTTGTGTGACATCAAACATAAATCATCAGGTCTTCTAGGTTCTTCACGTCGGTCCAGGATATCGCTGTCTTCTCGTTTCCCACTGTCTGACGCATAATCCAGTCCATCACAATTACGAATATCATTGATGATAATAAGCACTCTTGTTTGACTCCTGTGTTTGCTCCAAACGCCTCGCTGAGTTTTCCGTTGTGGATCACTTGACATGTGCCGTTGTAGTACAGCTGTTGAATAAGGTTGATGAATATTTGGGGTACGCCGTAGTACTCGAGTAGTTTCCAAATTACTTTGCGTTCAACGCTGTCAAAGGCCTTCTCAAAGTCTATAAAGTTGAGGTAGAGGTTTGATTGCCATTCCATGCTTTGTTCTGTAGTGACAATGCGTAGAGTTGTAATTTGGTCAGAACATGATTTACCTTTCCTGAATCCAGATTGTTCTGGTTGGATACTAGTCATTAACTAGTGTAATGTGTCTGGTGCTATCCTTGGTGCAGAAGGGACATGAATTCTTTCAAGGTTGTGAATACGCCTTGCTGACTGGTAAGTGTCGGCTGGCGCAAAATCTAGGTCCAAGACTTCCTGTCGATTGCCTCCAACCACCTAATATCAACAATTCGCAGTACACCGTGATGGCGAGCTAACTAGCATAGTGACTGATGGAATTCAGTCTGCACCAAACAAAGGACCTAGACGTATGACACTAGTTACTTACTACTTAGTGTTCAGTCAAAAAATATTCATGATTGGCTAATATCGCGAAAAGCCTTACTGTTGTCAATGCTTTTTAAACACAGGTATTTTTTTCCTGGTTTACAGTGGAGTCAATCTCTGTAGAATCAAAAAGGAAATAGGCACAGCGAAGTTGAAGATGAATGATGAATGCTAATGATCCAAGTGAATTAGTATAGAAATGACCTCTTTCAGGCAACCAGTCAGAGTTCCCCTAGATAATAGATTAATAGAGGCGAAATTGAGTGTAGTATTCATAAAAAATGTTGTTGAGAATTTACGAGAAAGATTTAACCCGGAAAA